ACAGAGAGAAGGGGGGAGAGGGAGAGAGATTCAGATAGGCAGGTCAGGAAGACAGGCACAGCAAGAGGGAAAGAGGGTCCGCATTTCTCGCGGGGTGTCTTTCGCGTTATGCCAACGCGCAGAACACAGCTAGCAGTAGTAGTATCTGCCTTGGGGTTGCGGAAACGGAAACTTTTGTCTCGGTGGGAGCCGCGACTGCATGTCTGCTACGTAGGGCAGCCGTTCGGTGTTTTCTGGATGTTTTCTGGAACTTCGTTCGTAGATTGTATGTGTTGAGGTACATACATACAACGTTGATAATTTTCGGAAGATTGTTGCAGCAGTAGCCCAGAAAGATGAAGATTAGTTGTTTGTTCCGGAATGCTCGATACATTCTTTATCCTGTGTATTGTTTTTTAGCATGATCTTGTCGTTGGAGGTAATTTTCAAAACCGCTGCTGCTGCTGCTGTTGTTGTTTGCTCTTACTCTAAACATTGTAACATGATCCGTGTTTTGTCCTTTTTGCTTCTTTCCCAATGTCTCCAGATAATGAACACACCGCTTGAGCCGATCCCGAAGGCCGCCATTTTTCCCAGCGTGCAGCACATGCAGGAGTTTTCGAACTGGTGAGGAAAAAGAAGAGAAAAAAACAATGTACCTCTTTGTCTTTCTCACAAAGTATAACGAAACTTACCTTTTTTTCTATCATTCTGCCTGTCTCTGCTGTTTTGCAGAGCTTCACGGATTTTCAAACTTGACCATTGGAACTCGAACTAAGGCAGTTTCCGTGTGCCATTTTAAGACGCTTTCTAACACGCAAACCTACAGAAGTTGAGCAGGCTTTCCACAGCAGTGCTGCCAAGCTGAGTCTGCGTTTCTTGCTAGCGAAACCCAAAGCAAAAAGAAGGAGCTTGAACAAAGCTGGGTTGTGGAGGGTATGTTAGTCGGCGGTGCTGGTGGGGGAGATGTTGCGTGGTGCGGGCATGTTGCGTGTTTTCCATCCTGCTCGGACTGGTTTGGACTGGCTGCATACCCTCTCTGTTGTTGTTGTTGTTGCTGCTGCTGTTGTAGTTGTAGTTGTAGTTGTAGTTGTAGTTGTAGTTGTAGTTGTAGTTGTAGTTGTAGTTGTTGTAGTTGTTGTTGTTGCTGTTGTTTGTTGCTTCACGCGTTTGCTCGTCTTGAGTACCGTAGGATGCATAGGGTACCGCAGCCCCTGGACCAATACCCAAAGGTTACTCGATTAGATTACTCCACGACGACGGGGATGCCAAAATCGAATAGCCCTCAGCGAGGCGGTTCGATCGCCTTCCGCCAATTCCGGCACTGTCACTGCGTTTGCAGAGTACCCCAGCTGTGAACATCGGTGGGTGGGGGGAGTGGTATCTTATGCAACCTACGGTCAGTTACTATTGTTGTCTTCCCCTTGCCAAGATGATGCCCATCGCTGCTAATAATAACCTGAAACGGACAACATTTACCCGTTTTCCTCGCCGCAACCTAATGTGAAGAAGCGGACCATTAGTGCCGTCACTAGGTGGTCACCTGACATGAACAACCACGAGCATGACACCGACAATAATTTCGCACTAACCTCCCCGACATGTTCCTCTTGTATGCGTTGTATTGGACCGCTTGAATCGCTAAAAATGCTTGAAACGCTTGAAACGCTTGCAATGGTTGAAACTCCAGTCTTGACGAGACGGAAGCGGATAATCCGGAGGGCCAGGAACGCCGGCGACTAGCCGAGACATTTGCAGCCTTCGCTGACAAGGCCAAAGTGGGGGACAGGTGGGCACGGCCACGAAAACGACAAAACAAATCATTCCACAAATCTTCAGGCCAGAAAGCATGGACTGACTTTACAGCCGCGACTTGTGAAATGAGACGGAAAGAGCGTAGTGTTAATGCCACAAAATGATTGCGAAATTGAAACAACGGGTGTCAATTTTGGATTTTTTTTCTTCGCAGTATAATTGGAGTTACAGTATGCGTAGTAGCCTAGAATATCAGCACTTGACAACACGGAAGATAAAATGTGAAATATCGTGTGCAGTGTGGTTATCCCGTCTCTCATTGGAAGACTATTTCTTCTGTGCAGTTGGTTTGATAAACGATCACTTTCTTGAAGTGCTGCAGCAGGCAATAGCATCCGATTACACATCAGATCCGATCGTAGAGATTCGAGCGAGACTGCGATGACAGTTTTTTGTTCTCAGAATTTCTTTTTTTGTCTTTCCTATTGTCAATTTCCAAGAAGAAGTGTCACTGTAGATCGTTTGAACAAGCCATAAGTGTGGCACGAAGCACACACCGATGACCCAACATTGGCTCATAAAAGATCATCACTGGGAATGTTTTTTTTTTGTCGGGGATGGTACCTTATGGCGCCCTGGTACATGTGCTCGATCTGAGACAACACTGGTTGTACTCGATCTGAGACAACATCGTACCAAAGCATGAACGCCGTCGCTTCGCCTCAGGTACTTCTTGGGAACGCACGACCAGCACCAGGCGCTAGCGAACGCCTTGCACCCCGTCGAAAACCTGACGCTCAAGGAGCGCTACGCCATCTCCATGGCCCCCATCAACGGCCGGTAAGCGAAGCCCAGACGTACGTTGCGTGTTGCATCGACAACGTGATGTCTGACGAACGATCTTGGCCAAACGAATCCTGTTGCCCACTACCAAATAGGAGTGTTCTTAGGTAGGATGGTCGGGCTTAGAAGGGTGACGGCAACAGGAACCATAGTAGGCGAACGTTTCGACAATTGATGAACACTGTCGTGCGAGGGAAGCTGCTTGTGTGCGGCCATCGTGCCTTCCTCGCAACTTCCCTTCCTCACACACCGCCGCCAAATCTGGAAATCTGTTTTTCTTGCTCTACAATTTTCTCTTTCGGACACCGCTGATCGCTCTATTCGAGACATGTCTATCTGAAAATACATATCTACGTTGAAACACAAAAATACTATCCGTTCGAGATAACACCACAGCAGCATGAAGTATTTGCAGTGAGTGGATTTAAACCAGACTGGACACTGGTCTTATCTTGAGTCTATATAAGCCTACAATGCACTGGATCGCGTGCGCAGGATTCTAAGAGTATCTAGAAAAATAATAGGGAGGGGGCACGCAGACCCTATCCCTCACCCTAACCCTAACCCCAAAGCACGGATTCAATACTGTATCCCATATGTTTGCTTAATCGATTTTGCTGCGTAGACTACGGAATGCACTGAATTATTGTCGCTCTTTTCGTTCCGTTTTGACAGGAACACCCTCCTGGTGCGTGCTATCTTCCTCTTCGCGACCGCTCACGCAGCGGGCCTCCCGGTGTTCATCAACATGCAACTCCCTCCTAAGGGGACTCTGCCGAAGTCGGTACGTTTGTTCTTCGAGCTAAAGCCCTCTCCATAACCAATGCAAGACTCGCTCCATTACCAATTGCAAGACTCAGCCAATACTGATGCAATCAGTCGTGCGTGAGGTCTTTGCGTTCGCTCCATATCTCTTCTCCTTGTACGGTTTCCATTTTTATTTTTTCTCTTTTTTCTCTTTTTTCTTTTTTTCTCTCTTTCTTTGTCTCTTTTTCTGTGCCAGATGGCCTGGTCTCTGCTTGCGTTGTGAAGTACCAAGATTGAACCAAGTGGGTGTACCTCTTTCTCCGGCCCATGATAGATAGTGACTGCTAGTCTCAGTTGATACCTCGCATAGCGCGCAGAGGGAGTGGAGGATTCCAGAATATCTGTCGTTGATTTCTATTGACTTGCGGACCCCTCGGGGCCAGTTTATTTGAGTGTACCTTTTTAGGGTAAGTTAACCTATGACCACGGGAATCGACCGCGTCGAGTGTTGGATCAGTACGGACATACGAAGGTACTGGGTAGAGAGAGATCGGAACGGTTTTTAATGTGAAGACAACAACAACAACAACAACAATACCCAAAGCAACACTCAGCGATACTGATGTCTTTTAGTGCGATCAACAAGCGATTAGATTATTATTCGGGCAATGCTGAGCGCTTCCGGTGCATGAGTTGCCAATCGTCGACATGGTGTGCGGGACACACATTTGTTCTTCTCATGCATCCGATTTTGTTGCCATTGTCAGAAGCGCGTACAAGCGAGACAGCGGCAACGCAACCGCCCCCTGATGGTCGAAGGATTCATGTAGACTGTGTACCGTAGGAGACATTGGATATCACATGCCATTTTTTTATCGATGTCGAAGGTCGATTACTCCACGGCACGAAGAGCGGTAACGATGCAGAATATGGTGACGTTGGAAACCGCCGTGCCGATAGCGTTCTGAACACCGATCGTTTAATTTTTACATTCTCTTGGTCGTGGAGTACCGTAAGGTTGCGAGTCAGCGCACAGGGGTGCGAACGATTTTCAAAGCGTAATTTATCCCCAACCAGGAGGTTGCCACGTCGAAAAGGGCGGTTTTGGGAATATCTCATCGAGAGCTTTCCTGAGAAGTATCAGTTGGCGCTCGCACCCTCTTGGCTGTGGAGAAATTACGCTTTGAAAATCGATCGCACCCCTGTGCGCTGACTCGCAACCTTACGGCAGTCGAGCTTGAATATAGTGGAATGGTTCCAGGGTGCGATATCTTCCGCCATGTCATGTCATGTCCCCTGCGGTAGGTGTGCATGTGTCGTTCGCTTTCATTCGCCAACTGCGTCCACTCAAGTCACCAACGGAGACAACACCATGTAGCCCACCACCACATTTTGTAACCCCCCCCCGCCGTGGCATATTTGACCCCCTTTTTTTCTCCTACCCCTTCGTCGATGGCACCACCAGATGACCGAGTTCCAGACCCTGTGCTCGAAGCACAACGTCTTGGACTTGTACCGGTGGATGGGGGTCCGCTTTCCGTCGATCGAGTGCTTCACCGAGAAGAGCGTAGCGGAGATGTAAGTCACCACGAAAGGGCGAACCGCGATCATATTCTGGGAATTTTCCCCGCCTCCCCCGGCGGCGGCGCAGAGAGAGCTCTCTCAGCGCCGGCGGTGGGGGAGTATCTATCAGGCGAGGTCCTCAGCACCCGCGGCCTCAACGATTTCAATACTGAGATTGAATGATCCTCTCTGAGGAAGAGAATCCGTACTAAGCATTGCTTCTTTCTCTACTTGTGCGATACCGTAGGTGACACGCTGGAAGATACCACATCCCCTTGGGCCTATTTTTCAAACTTGATTATGTACTCCACAGAGAAAGTCCCCGCTGGGGTGCTACCGGTCGTAGTCGTATGTGCAACACGCAAGGGTGCAGTCTCCGAAAATACAAAATACATGGTGTCGGAGGGAGCGTCGTGGGAGATGAGCGGCGAACTCTCCGTGCATGTGTCTACTTTCGAACGACCAACAACGACAACACGCGAGTAACGATAATAAAACATCTAACGATGGTAACTTTTCGGAAAAGCCAAAGATCTCGACGAGACGGTTTGAAATCCACTCTTTCTACGGCGGAGCAATCGAGCTTCGAAAATCTTTCCAGGGGGTGTGGGTGTGGTATCTTCAGTGACCTTCGGTACTCCCTTCCAAGTCACCCCGCGGCGTAGGGTAATCCTTCGTCGGGTGTGGTTGCGGGGGGCACCCTGTGAGCAGTCTCTTGACAGGTCTCTTCCGAGTAGCGCATGCGTATCTCTACACAACCAGCAAGATTTAGCTGGAGGCACAGCAACAACGATGGCAGTAATGGTAGTCGGCCTCGCTTTTTTTGGCAACCGTTGGTTTTGCGTGCTTGCTTTTCGGCTCCGATGTTCCTTTTGGTCCTTTGACAGCGGTTCGTGGCAGTGTTGCCTAGGCCTGCTTCCCAACGATGTCAGCGGTTCTCCCTGAATGTGACTGTCTTGAAGCTTGTGGGCGAGAACATGACTACCTCACGGTGCAACACTGACCATGCCGTGCTTTTTCACCTCAGGTCACGGTACGCCGCTCTCTCTCGCTCCCCCATCCCCCTAATCTCTCCTCCCACTCGTTGCTGTTGCTGTCGTCACGTTAAAACCTTGTAACGTACTGGTCCAACTGATTCGGGCGCACTACCTTCCCCTTTTTTTCTGGTTACCCCGACCGTTCCCTCGACCTTTTGGGTCGGCCACGAACGTGTGTGTGCAGACAACGGGTGGAGCTGGAGTCGATGATCAACGAAGCCCTCAAGAGAAGGATAGCGGTCACGGGACCCGACTCAATCAGCGTTCCAGAGCACGACACGTACAGCAAGAAGCTGCTGAGGGCCTTGAACAGCCCAAGCGGCGGCGATGTTCTTGACGCCATCGGGCAAAGCGGTGCTGCCGAGGAAGAGGAGGAGGGGGAGGGGGTGGAGTACATGTTGTGACGAAAATTGTGTCGGTCTCATTTGTTTGTCGTCCATCGGCACGGGGGGGGGGGCATCGACACCGGGCGGGGGCGTCCAACTTTTTTGTGTCTGTGTGGCCCCCACCTTCGTAAGTACAAATGTGTCATTTGGTACTGGAATTCGTGTTTGGACCGTAGCATCTCACACCAGTGAGCATGAGCGACGCGGGTAGCCAGCCCCCCTGGTTGATAGCATTTTCCAGGCAGACTGCGGCTTCTTATTTTTTATTTTTTGGGTTTGACTGCCATGGAGTTTTGCCATGGAGTTTTGCCTCCGCTTTGAAGGCTTGTCTGTCTTTGCGGCGGTGGTGTCCGACACGGAAGCGGTGGTAGGCTGTTTACGCTGCTCCCCCTAGGGGTCATACAGGGGCGTGAAGTCACCCCTCCTTCCGACTGTTGTCCCCAGCAATGTCCGCCAGGGGTTGTTTCTACATTAACCCTAAAGGCGTTGTTGGTTGTGTTGGGCGTGTGTGTTGAATGTTGCTTTTTTTCGGTTATGGAGGGCATCGTCGAGGCGCTTCTCTGCCGAAATCAGGTCGAACTGTCTAAACTCACCAAGAAATCCGCTATTTGTAGGGAAGGATATATCCCAAAGTAACCGATCCCAAGGAATGAACGAGCACTACCGTTTCACAAGGGATGACGTGGAGTTTTCGTTCATATTCTGCTGTTTCTCTTTTTGGGAACATCGCACAACTTCAAAGAGCGACTAATACTGTACGCCGTTCACCGGCATATCGAACCATCCGACGAAGCGCCAACGCGTCATGACATGGACCAGCTCGCCAATCCGGTGGTGGGCGGGCCACGGATGGAGGGTCGAATTATCTCGGGGAGGACTCTTTCCGGCTTACAATAGGGGGTGAATAGTAGCCGGCAGGACTGACTGCATTAATTCTGGTGCGAAATTATGTGGGGAGGCGAATGAGCCACCTTGTATTTTTTCGTTTGTTTGTCGGGGGAGTCCCGAACATGCACCACAGCAGAGCCGGGACAGCGCAGCCGTTGCTCGTGATCATTACGATCGATCGTGTTCCTTGTACTTCGAAGTAGCAGTAAGTGAAAATCGTTTTTTCTTGAAACCGGAGGAATATCTTCGGTTCTATGTGATGACTCTTTGCCTCTAAATGACATCTGATCTGATATCATTGCCTGATTCCTCGTAGGTCTATGTAACTACTCACAGTTCGCCAGCTCTGCCACCGCCGCTTCCGCAAACGGACGTGACAAGAAATCGCACGAAGACGGCGAAAAAAATCAAAAACTGGTAGACGAGGTGCACCAACCCCCCCCCTAAGGTCCAAAAATGACAACAAAAAAAGTGGGTGACTTTCTGGCCAAACCCTACTTGTAGCCACCGTCTACTTGCACATGCGTATGTATATACGCCGTTCTTGACTTGAAAATAAAAACCGTTCCGGTCTCCGCTCAAAGTAGTACTTTTCAATTTCCGTACAGGTCCAGCTAACCCAGACACCTCCCGCTATCACAGCCTAAATACCCAACACGGGCACGCATGTATGCGTACGTGTCTCGAGCCTCGGATTAACGGACCGAGCACATGAAGAACACCGGCCGGTACACCATGATGGCCCTATAACCAACAGCGCGAAAGGTGAGAGTTGCTTTGGTTGTTGATCAAAAACGTGCCCCATCCAACAACAGGCAACGTTCGTGTGTGTAGCAGCGGCAGGGTCGTCATCGCGTTCTGAGTTACGAAGAGAACACACGAGTTTGACAAAGCCAACACCCCCTGCGGTTGCCTCAGTCTGCGAACCCTCAACAATGCCGATGGTCGCGTGCTCCAGATTACACACCAAAAGAGAGACGAGACACGGGTAGACTATGCGGTACGGAATAACCGTTCCACGGCGACGCGATAAAGGAGAGCGAGGGCACTCCTTGCCTGAAAACGAGGGGTTTGCGAAAAACACGCATGCGTGGCGTTTCACCCTGCCTGCGTCGTGTGTGTGTTTTCGCAACATGCAGCAAGCACCACTAGAAGACGACTCGACCTGCCGTGAGTTGAGTTGGCCAAATTTGACGAAGGCAGCAGTAGTGCCGAGGCGAGACGACCTCTGAATGAACTGTCAAGACGAGGGAAGAAGCCCACTAAGGTAAACAAGACTCTACATCTATCTCCTTGCTATGGCAGCAGCAGCCTCAGCAGCACAATGCTCACAAGCTCTAACTTACATAGGCGATCATTTACACCCGGCAATCAGCTAATCTTGTAGAACTACAGAAAATACTAGGCCCTGTGGTTTGTTCCCGGTGGTAGGGTAGCCGAAGGCTAAAACCTCCCGATGGAAACGGTGACTACCACAGCTTGTGAAACCAGTCTCGACGCACGTGTCCAGCAGCAAGGAGTGTGACCGTCAACGGTACCTCGCAAACGGTGCCACACTACCCCCAAGCCAAGCCGCGCGCAGCGGCCTCTGCGGTAGCGGCCAAGCACCACACCAGAGGGCAAACAGAGGAGGGAAAAAAAAGGCAGCACACGCGGGACGACCACGAAAGGGTGATCACCGGCAACAACCACAAAGTCAGGAGTGACCGTTCGTGAGAGCCATCTTCTTGGAATACTTGCCGCCGGGCACGGGCGGCGTGGTGCCATCCCCGTGCACGACGACGGCTGCGCTGCTGACGTTGACGCTACTGCCGTGGTGCTTCCCGCCACCTTTCCCCCCGTGCTTGCCGCCCCCACCCCCACCTCCTCCGGAACCCCACCTTGCGCTGCCCCCGCGGGTCAACTTACCGCCGCCACCGGGAGCGGCGCAAGGCTCCTTGGCCGGGCTAGGGGAGGGAGACCGTAGGTGATCCACGGAGCCCCCCATTCCTCCTCGGGCCATTGGCGGAGCGGTCGTGATGTCGCAAAGAGACCTGGCGGGGCAGAGGGTAGACGAGCAAGAGGGACGCGTCAGCCCTAAACTGGTTACTTCGACGCATACACTTCTGTTACGCTAGAAGAATCGTCTGCCCGTACCACGACCTCCGAGGGAAGAGTGTCACGCCATAATAAAACACACGGAGCGTACAATCACACCGAAAGACCACCCGTTCGAGGTCACGTGGTGAAGTCTGTGCGGTGAACAGGAGGAACACCCGCTGGATACGTTTTCTAAAAGCTGGTCAGTGAGTGCTAGTCTCATGCGTATCCACTCCCGTCTAGGCCGCAGAGTTACAGTAGAGGACCCTACGCCCGTAGGCCTTCTGCGCCAAGACACAAGTTACAAGAGGAAGGACAAGAGGAAGGCAATCACATTTGAAAAAACACTTGTCTAATGTAATTTCCCCATTGTTGTTCTAGTAGAGCGTCTGTGTTTCACTTTTCTGGGTCCTTGTTTTCTTCTCGTTGATAACTTGGACGACTGCTTACCTAGATCTCCGGTGTTTCCGGCGATTCGCAACACACCCAAACCATAATTTATCTCATACACGCACGTACACTTGTCTTCTCTAGTTCCACCCTAATTTTCCCCACCTTCTTGCCTTCGCAACTCCATCTCCATCTCCATCTCCCCGTCTGTTCTGTCTGTATGTCTGTCTCCGTCTCTACCCCCCCCCCCCCCCCCC